CTTTGTCTCTGGTATGTGGGTATTTTGTTTGTTCTTTCAGTTTTTTGTTAGATTATTTGCTGTTCCTACCACTTAAACTCTGCACTAGAGCTAATTTGTTGTCCTTTGCTTACTTCTAAAATGGGAGAACTTCCTGTGGGGACCAGCACTTGAGCTCTATAGTTGAGCTAAATTGTTGTTTTGCTGCTGATTCACTGGGGAAGGATTTTTGTGCAGCTCAGGTTTTAATGGTTGACTTTATAGGTACTTCCAGGTCTTATGAGATCTGGTACCCCTGGGTTGTATAGAAACTCTGGTCTGGGCCTGAGTCTTTTCAGTTAGTGCACCCCTTGCAGTTCTGCATTCCTGACCGGTCTCCACTGAGTGGTCCTGTGCTGATCGGGGGGCAGATCAGTTGTCCTTGTTGTGCCCCAGTGTTCTCCTGGTGGGTTCGTCTCCCCCACCGCCTGCACTCCAAACACTTCCCCTGGGGCGGGCTGTGAGCTGGTCCCTTGTGATGACTCACCAGCCTCTGAGTGGCTCCTTTCCTCAGTTGTGGCTCCTTGCTCCTATATGGGTTCACAGGAACCCTATTAGTGGTCTCGCTGGCCTGAGGGCCACCAAGGCCGTCTGCTCCCCTGCTGTGTCCAAGCAACTTTATCTGAAGGGCACAACTGTGGCTTTTGCCAGCTCTTGCTCTGTGTGCTTACCTGCTCCAACATGGAAGCGAAAAGGATTCGAAATGGTGTGAGCGATCCCTTCTTTCTCTCATTGTGGCTTCTCCTGCCTTCATGAACTCCATAGGTCTCTCCTCCTCTTCCCCTGATCCCTCCTAGCCCCAGCTTGGTTGTCATTGCTTTGTAATAATTGTAAATTGGTTAATTTGTGGGAGAGAGTGTCTCTGGGGACCGTCTATTCTGCCTTCTTGACCGGAAGCCAATAGATGCTCATTTTGAGGAAGATTCATTTCCTTTGGGTCTAATTGGTTGCTTTTAACAAGGTTGATACTAAAAGATTATATCAAACCTCAGGTTCTTGACCATCTCCTTGGTATTATGACCCTATATGTAATAGAATCTTAGCATAAGAAAAGGATTTTAGAGGTTTATCTGGTTCAACTCCCTTTCCACCAAAAAAAAAAAAAAGAAAAGAAAAGAAAGAAAACCCTTCTTGAACATATCCAGTGATACATTCATTTCTCCCAAGAAAATTTATCCCACTGTTTGGCCACAGTTCCAAGCTTCATTGAGCAGAGCTCTGTTTCTCTGTCTACTCTGTCCATTAAGAGAAAGGGAAGGAGGGAAATGCTAATTTATTAAGCACTATTTGGGTACTAGACACATGTAAGGGACTTGGATATATTATCTCATTTGAGTCTTAAAACATCCCTATAAAGTAGATTATTATCTACTCTATTATCCCAATTTTTTTCTATTATCCCAATTTACAGACTGAAAAAAAAGTTTAGAGAGTTTAAATAACATGTCCAAATTCATCCATGACAGTGGAAGATGCAAGCCCATGGACTCTCTTCGGTATACCAAGATGCCTCATCTTCCCTACCTCCTGTCTGTCTTCAGAACCACCCATCCAGCGTGCTGCACTAGAGCCTTCCTTTCAGAATAAAAATCCCCTGCTTAAATACCTTTGATGGCTCCTCAATACCCACTCAAGGGAAATAGTCCAAGCTCTTTAACTTAATAATCAAGGCCCTTCACAATCTGGCTCCAACCAGACTTTGCAGGCTCACTTCCCTCTACTCTTCCAATGCATGTAGGTTTTCCAGGAGGATGCCTTTCTGTCTTTGCACAGGCTGTACTTGCTGCCTGTGTGCCCTGCCCCTCTTTCTCTGCCTAAAGAAATCCCAGTTTTCCTTTAAGGTCCACTCAAATGTCACCATATTGGTGAAGTCTTCCCCCATTTCTCTCTCTGGGTAAAATGAATTCTGCTTTTTCCAGCACGTCACAACACCTTTGTAATAACCTCTTTTGCACTGTCATGCTTCTGTGTAGTCTAAGATCCTCCAGGACAGGGATTGTATTTTACTTTTCTTTGCATTTCCAGTTTCTGGCACTTAGTAGGTGTTCCTTAGATATTTATGGAATAGAACTGGGGCTTAACCTTTTTCCGCATGTTAACTCTTCAATTATTTTAAGACACTTCTAAAGCCTTGCCCTACCCCACTCTACTCCTTAGTTATTTCTTCTCTAAGCTAAAGAGGCCCAACTCCTTCAGCTGTTTCTTATAAAGTCTGATCTCCAGATTCCTTATCTGGTCATTTGCTTCTGGGTGATAATTTGTCAACATAACCTCTTTTAAAATATGATGCTTAGGACAAAATTTAATAGCCCAAAGTCTGGCTGCAGCAGAACAAAGTGAGAGGATTCCAACTGTGATTTAGAGGCAATGTCTCCTTAACCATTACTATGTGCCAGGAGCCGCTGCCTACCTTATTTTCTTTCACTCTTCAGTAATCTGGTGAGGTAGGTGTTATTCTCCCAGCTTTTAGATAAGGATACCAGCCATCTGTTAAGGAACTTTGAGAGTAAATTTAACTTAAAGTCACAAACCCAGAGCACAGAGGGAGCTTGTGGTCAACTAATACCTTTAGATCATTTTTATATCAACTGCTGTCAAGTTATTATTTTTTCCATTTATCAGCTAGTGACATGCTTAAGGGCAACTGAGGACAAAAACAATCAGTGTCTTTAGAAGGGTGTAAAACCAAAGCACAGAGAAAAGGCAGGTTGGATTAATGACCAATTTCCTAACAATAACAGCTTTTATCTAGGATCTCAGACAGAGCCTGGAATTTCTCAAACACATAGCTTCCTGGAACTATTTTTATTTGGTATTTTACAAGAGGAGCAAGAGCAGAAGAAGTTTTTCAGATAAACAATAAGGTATGGGGCTCAGTACGTCCCTGCAAAGCACTCACACCATCAGAACCTGAGCAACTAGTGAGGCCCTGTGAGTCACAGGGTAGACGATAAGGTGGCTGCCTCTCTGGTCTGTGACTTGAGTCTGAGAGGGGCCCACTGTGCACATTCATTCCATGAGTACTGACTGAGCATCAGTGATATTCCAGGCATGGTGCAAGGTGCTGGGGACATAATGAAGAACATGGAGAGAGTTCCAACCTTCTGGAACTTACAGTTAAATGGAAGGCAGCCACAAAAGCAAACGATATGCACACATCCTAGTAAATGCAATGATGAAAGAATGTGCCCAGGCTACCGCGAGAGCAAGAGGAGGGGCATTTAACCCATCCTGTGGTGAGGATGGAAGAGAAGGTATCAGAGGAAGTTTCTGGGGAAGATAAGCTTCATTGATGAGTAGGAATTAACCTGGTGAAGATGGGAGGAAAAGACAGAAGAAAGAAGAAAAAGTCCCAGGTATGAACAGAGCCTCAAATGCAAGAAATAGCATAAAGCTCCCATAAAGTGTGGGAAGAGTCACAAGTAATTTGGTGTCTAATTAAAGGTCCAGAGGCTGGGGAAGTAGACAGGATTATTAAGTGCCTGTTGTGTGTTAGGCACTCTTACAAACCCTTCACATACATTATTTCAGATTACTAACTCACTGTGTGACCTTGGGCAAGTTACTGCGCCTCTGGACCTCACTAGTAAGATGAGAACTAGATGAACTCTAAAGTCCTGTCTAATGTAAGCCTCCAAGATAACGAGTGGAAAGGCAGTCTAATCTATGGTCTGTCTACCATGTTTACGGGAATGCTAGTCAGGTTGATCAAGCATCACGGCCTTGATTCTGCAGGTTACAGGCAGACTGTTCAAGAGGATTCTGTTAAACTTAAAAACGTTTACCAAGCATATAAAGTTTGAAGTATTTGGAAAAGATACAGATTGAAATAGCTATCCGGCAGGGCGGGCTGTGGTACATGCCCCTGGAAAGAGTCAAATGGTGAGCTGTGGGGAGCTCAGAGATGGGAGAGGTCGTAGTCAGCTTGGAGGTGGAGCAAGGCTTCTGGAGATGGCATTTGTGATGGGCCGCAGGATGCAAAGAGTGTCAAAGAAGAGGCTGAGCAGAGGCTTTCCAGGCAAAGGAAACAGCAAGAGCCTGACAAAGTCAACCAAACATTGTACTTCTGCTTCCCCCATCTGCCCCTCCACCTTTCAACCCCTCCACCCCTGCACATCCTCTGCTCACACTACCTACCCCCAGAATTCTTAGCTGACATTTGAGACTCTCCTTTTTCTCTCTCTAGCTTATGGTCTCCATATGGACCCTCTGCTCCAGCTGCCCAAAACTACTTGCTGTTTCTCAAATGTGTCCCTCAGTTTTGTGTCCCTTGTTATACCTCTTCATACAATGTCCCACTCCCCTACTATTCCCTCCTCTTCCCCCAAAGTTTTCATGCTCATCATTCCAGGCCCATCTAAAATACTATCTTCTCTATGTAACCCTTCCCAAATCTCTTCCAAACACCACAACATTTTGATTGCATTTCCCCGTGGTACTTATAACTTCTTGCTTTGTGTTATAATATCTGTCCTCACCAGACTGTAAGCTCCCTAAGGAAAAGGGAGCCATGTTGGTGTCTCTCCCAAGGGTCCTGCACATGGTAGCACTCCATAACTAACCAGATGGCCAGGTCCTCAGTAAGCACACAGACTATGAGCAAAGTGGTTGCAGAAAATCTAAATGAAACTGCTGTTTGACCTCACTAAGGAAAATTGGAATAGTCCTTTTGTCATCCTTTGGTTACTCCGGCAATCATTCCCTAAACTTGGGCATGTGTTTTGGTGGTACTGAGCCCAGCGGTTCCAGCAGTGGACTCTGGTTAGCTTATTCCATGCTTCTAATTGTTTCAGGAATGGGAGCCTGAGGATGAAGCTAGCTGACAGGTGGAGATGGAGTGCATGGAGCAAGTGTAAGTCTACGTGGTTGACTGAAAGAAACCCATCTTAATGGGCCTGAGAAATGTGTTAGAGAGCCACCATTTTGGTCAAAATTTACCACTCTGTAATGTAGGTGCATTATCCCTGTTTTATAGATGAGCAAACTCAGAGAGCTAAGGGGCTTAGAAAGGTCAAGATGCTTGTCCAGGTTCACATGGTATGTGGCAGAGCTAAAACATGAAGTCAGGTCTAATGTGTTCTCCACTGTGTCACAATTGCCACTCAATGTTACAGTTGCCTGTAAGGGGACATGAGACCGAGACCCTTTCTAAGAGGTTCAGGGTTCCTGGTGAATCAGATCAGAAAATTTCCAACCCTTCTTCTGATCCCAAGTTTAGTATACAGATGAAATCTGTTTAAACTGTTTGTTTGATGATCTTAGACAGGCTTGAAACAGAAAAGCAGTCACAAAAGGCAACAACCTGAAAAACATATGAAAGGGAAACATCAAAATCAAGAAGGAGGTTAAGAGCTCTTATGTGTTTCAATGCCCCCTCCCCCACCACATACTTTCTTTAAGAAGCAGAAGCCATTTTTTCTATTTCCTTCACCAACTCTCCCCCTGCGTCATCAGCAACACAGTAAAAGTAAAATACTATTTTCTCAATTGTTAGTGCTGGAATAATCATTCATTTTTGCTGTTCCTTATGGAGGGTTCTGCCAGGTTTAATTCCTTAATGTAATATGTAAAACAGCAGACTTGGGGTTTTCTACCATACCTTTTAAAAAATCACATCCTGATTTCTTCCTTCTCCATTGCCTGTGTACTTCTTGACTTCCCCCCACCTGTGACCCTTTCCAAGGGTCAAGGGTCACAGGGTCTGTCATAGCCCAATTCCACTTTCCACCTGCCTCTTGATTTTTTTTTTTTTTTTTTTTTTTTTTTTTTTTCCGTGTCCGGCAA